CGCTACCATCGCTGTTGCTGCTTTCACCGCTGCTGCTACTGGTACTGTACTGCCAGTGCAAATCGGCATGAAATACAAATGATAGCATGCTTCCGACCACAAATAATGGGATCTCGCTTGCCTCACAAACCTCGACTGGCAGGTCCGTCTGACTGTTCAATAGTATTTTCTAACCATAAATCGTTAGTCTAGGGTCGTCCAGAGAGTTCCGAATCAGCTAGGCAGAAACTAGAGCAGCATTTACTATTCATATTAACGTAAGCTAGTGGAGTAATAAACCTCACAGATGTATGGCCATGAAGCTTTCAGTGCGCTGATTTAAGCTAGTATTCAATGCCGCCATTATCAAAAGTGGCATTTTGCAGACAGAAACTGAAGAGTATTTTTACCCTGTGAATATGTGGGCCTACGGGGCGCGAGCATAGAATACCATACAAGCTACAGTATTTGCAGGGCGAGGGTCAGTAGCGCAGCATGAAGTAGCAGTAATGCAGAGATCACGTTCCTTAACACTTGCCGCTGTCTGCATTATTGTTTAATTTTGTCTGTGTGCCGTAAACTTCACTGTCGTTATCAATGTCGAGGAAAAGGGAGGAGCACTGGAAGATGACCGTTGGTAAGAAGTGAATGTACCACTGTCGTCATCATTGTAATCTTGCTCCGGCTCGCCATCGTCATTGTCACCGTCATCAGCATCGTCATCCGCAACGTCAATGTTGTCGTTATCTTCTAAATAACGAGTTTTCATTGAGAAGTTAACGGGCATTCGTTGTCATTTTCGTACATGCCGCTGCTATCGTTGCTCTTAGTACCAAAATTAGCCAATGATTATTGTGCACTTATCGCTACAGTTATTGACCGTTAACATTCTTAATCAAAAGCGTTGTGCGGCTGAATCATTTCCACTCGATCCGGAAAATGACTGGATGTCGGTGCAGCGTCATCTGAATGCTCCCGATACAATACACTTTACCAAATGTCCATCTCCGTTCTCCATCTGTTCCACTATTCCCGACTCTTCCGCTATCCGAAGTCAAAATTTTGGATCAGCTGCAAATCAGTGCTCTTGTCAGTGCAAAGCAGATGCTGCCGCATTTTTACCTTCTGTACGAAGCTGCATCAACAAACTTGGTTAGAGCCCATTATTCTTCAATTCACTTCGCATTTTCCGCGATCCAACCAATGCATAGTTCCTCGGTTCCGTTCTGATTTTTATTCACCTTCAACGCTGTTAGTTCTGACTGCATGCGTTTTCGTAATAGAACAGAATGCAGCAAAGCAAAAACATGCCAATGTACATGGGAACGTATGCGTGCCTTGTCTTTCTCTCTGTTTTCTTAACTGATTTATCTCAGCA